TGTCTCCCTCCTGTTTCCCATTCCCTGATTACTCGCCTGTGTATATAAGCCCTGTGTTTGCCTTTGTGCTCTGTCCTGTCGTACTTTCTTCATGCTGTGTGGTTCTCGTGTTCCAGTTCTGAGTTTAGTTTAGTTTTTGTGCGAGTTATTTTCAAGGAGATTTTTCCAGCATTAAAGCTGCGTCTTGAGTTCCAGTCCTGTCTTTGTGAGTCCTGCATGTTGGGTCCCTTTTCCTGCCTGCCTGCCACACAGCCATGATAGAACGACGCGACCAGTACATGGACCCAGCAGAACTCGCCCCATCTGATGAGCTTAAGGAGGATATAATTTATTCAGTGAATAAATTATGTGACCTGTGGCTGAATCATCCAGAGGAGGAGTTTCAGCGTGCTGTAACCTACCGGCTACAGCGACTGGTTTCCGCTCTCCCCTGGCTTTTGGACTCGCTTCACCCACTCATACAGGAGATTTTCCTTAATGAGCTTCATCTGCATTCCCCTGCTGCTACCACTTACTCACCCAGCTCGGAGAAGGATGTGCTGCCCGGCCTGCCGGACTTGGAGTTGCCCGGCTCACCGGAGCCATCACAGAGAAGGAAGTGATGGCTGCGCCGCCAGAGCGTCACCCCTCAGCCAGATTTCGCGATATCACTCACCGGCTGTGGTGAGTGGAAAAAGACAATTTTTCTGTTGCTTTGGACAATGGGACTATTTATTCTGGGGCTATGTTTTTTGGATCAGCTGCCTGGCCTGAAGCGCGTTCAGCTGCTCAGCTGTCCCCAGTTCAGTCTCCCACTCAGTCAACCTCAGGTCAGTGTCCAGTGTCCCCCACTACCTGTAGCTCAGTCTTCAATTCTGTCAGCCACTCAGTCATCATCATCTCTATGCAGGGAGGAAATCTCATTCCCACTCTGGGTATTTCTCATAACTTAGCTGCTTTAGGTACATTTATTTACTCCAGGGCCTCCCCAGAGGCTAGGTCTCAGTCCCCAGCTGATTCTGGACCCCTGAAGATTAAGCAGCCACCTGAGAACTGCACCGTGTCAGCGCTGCCAGAACAAAGCCACTGTCCTGTGCAGCTCCAACCAGCTTCGTTCCTGCCAGAGGTCTCGTGCCTGTTGGTCTCCGTGCCTGCTGGTCCTGTCTCGTCCCTGCCAGAGGTCCCTGCACCTGCTGGTTCTGTTCTGTACCGGCCAGAGGTCTCCGTGCCTGCTGGCCCTGAGCCTGTCATCGCTGGAGGGTTCGGGGGGCCCGTTCAGCTGTCCGTCTTCGCTGGAGTGTACTAGGAGCCACTTCAGTCACCTCCGCTGAGGGGCCGGAGGAGCCGCTTCAGCCGTCCGTCATTGATGAAGGGTCGGAGGAATCGCTTCAGCACCTTGTGGCCGCTGACGGCTCTGAATCCAATCTGCCACCTCCTGCGTCGCCTGCAGTGCCTTCATCAGGGGCTTCCACGCCATCGCCTGCAGTGCCACCACCCGCAGCTGCCACCACCCGCAGGTGCCACGCTGCCGTCTGGACCCGCAGGTGCCACGCTGCCGTCTGGTCCTGCCTCGTCTGGTTCCGCCTGATCCAGCTTGGCCTGAACCACCTCACATCTGCCAGCCACTTTCCAGGCCTCTAGCTGGACATCATCGCCGTTGAGGGCAACCCCCTGAACAAGGTCGCCTCCTGACCTGCTCTGTCGCCGCCGCTGCCGTCAGTGCGGTCGGCCACGTGAACTGCTTTGTCGCCGCTGCTGCCTTCCCTGTGGTCGGCCTCTAGACCCGTTTTGTCTCTGTTACTGGCCTCCGGGTCGGCCACCTGAACTGCTCGGACTCCTGTGCTGTCAGCCCCCACGTCAGCCTCGTGAGCAGTCTCAGTCGACTCTAGGTTGGTTTAGCTCCTGGACCCCCTCTCACCCACCCAGGTCTGGTGGTCTGTTTTGTTTTGGGCTGTCAGGAGCCAGCCCTTAGAGTGGGGGGTACTGTCATGGTTCTGGGACATTTTGACCCAGCTGTTTCTGTTTTGGTGTTTTTCTAAATTATGATTTGTTTGGGGTTTTCAGTTGTGCTGGTTTGATTTTGTATTAATGGTTATTCTTGGTTTTGTTCTCTTTACGTTATTTTTTTTTTT